ACAATAGTGTAGCAGATGACAGAGAGAGACAAGTTGTGTTCAGTCTACACAATACTGTAGTAGATGACAAAGAGACAAGTTATGTTCAGTCTACACAATACTGTAGGAGCTGACCAATAAATTCACAGCATTTAAAAAAACAACTTTACTCTTCTGTTTTGTTAGTCCTACAGTGGCACAAACTAAAACACAATTAATTCAAAATACAATAAAAGCAGCTATTACAGAAGACAAGTCTTTATTTTAATGATTACAACATTTCAACCCACAGTACTGAGTCATCATCAGGTAAATTACATTTCCTTTTTTTAAAGGTAACTCATCATCAGGAAGGAGTTAATTTTTTTAATGTACTTTTTACCCGAATGATGACTTGATACCATGTGTCAAAATGTAATTATTAAAATCAGAGCTTGCCTACTGTTAAAGTTGGTTTTATTTTATTTTGAATTAATTATTTTCAGTTATATAGGTTTGTCACTAAATGTTAAAACAGATGTAATTTCAATGCTTTACATTATGTTTTCTGCTTACATATAGGAATGTTTATAAAGAGAGTTGGATTATTATTTCAAATATTGAAAGAAATCTTGTTCTGTAGTTAAGCTGTGGTAGATCATACAATACAATGAAAGATTTTAGTGTTTAATTTATAAATTTCAAACAAATATTTCAAGAGTTTGATCTTTGATTAAACTATTTCATAACTATGTATCTAAATATAATTTTTTTCTTTTAACCAAAGTTGCTTCAACAAATAAACCATGTATCAAAAATGAAAAGTTTTATCTTAAATGTTTAATTATTTCTAACTTTGTAAGCATTAAATATTGCTAAAGGGGACAACACCAAAAAATTACTCTAGCAAATGTATAGTACAAAAAGGTTTTCAGATTATTGTTAATAGTAAACATGTTTTACTATGTTTATTGTTTGTTTTGAATTTCTTGCAAAGCTACATGAGGGCTGTCTGCGCTAGCCATCCCTAATTTAGCAGTGTAAGACTAGAGGGAAGGCAGCTAGTCATCCCCACCCACTGCCAACTCTTGGGATACTCTTTTACTAAGGAATAGTGGGATTGAACATCACATTATAATTCCCCCACGGCTGAAAGGGCGAGCATGTTTGGTGGGACGGGGATTCGAATCCACGACCCTCAGTTTGCGAGTCGAGTGCCCTAACCATCTGGCTATGCCGGGTCCTATGTTTATTACAAGCTTTGGTTAGTGATCCCATTATGGTTGTCCAACTACATCATGTAGACATTCAAACGAAAAGTATTGGGTTTTTTAATATATAAATGTGACTATGAACATGTTAGCAGCACTTGAGTCATAGAGTAGCTTCTTTCCTGCAATTTGGTATTCAGAACAGCATTTGACTTTTCACCCCATTCTGGGATGTTGTAACAGTAAACTCATGATGGCTAAGTCTAAAACAGAATGAAACATCAGGTTTTTCTGTCAATTCATTGTTTGTGTGCAATATTTTCCATATAATTCACATTTTATTTAGGTTCAATAAACACTGGATTTGAAAGGGGCAAGCGAATAAATAAATAATCTTGTTTTTTAAATGCACCACTGGTGAAGGAAACTGCAAACACGTACTGTGTATACTTCTCTTTCTTTGTCCTGTTAAACATGAGGTACACCGAGTGTAACACACACCTACAGCACACTATGTTCTGCTAAACAGTTTTGTGAAAGTAACAGTGCATAAAACATATTAAAATGTCTAACAAACAGGAACAATTGTTATTCAATGTCACTAATTTTTTGCTTTTTAGTTTTAGTTTCTATTTCGTTATTGCTTAATTTTTGTTTTAGCTGTTTTACTTTTCATTAATTAAAAGAACGAAAAAACTGGTAGAGGGTTAGTTATTTTTAGTTAATTTCTAACTGTTGTTGATACAGTACATTTCAATACTTCTTTCTTTGGGACTCAAGCACTGTATGTAAGACACTTCTATCATTCAGGTACTGCCGTCCATTATTTTAAACTACTGACCAGCAAGAAAAGGCAGCCAGCCAGTAGTAACTGCCACCCCATGTGACTAATGGTCACTCTTATAACATGCTTAAAGCTGAAAGTGTGGAGTGTTTGTCCTGTAGTATCATGAAAATTAAGCCTGCCAATTTGCACTCTGGAATGCTAACCATCAGGCCTAGTCTAAAAGTAATAAAAATATGGAAAATTTATGTCTGCTATCAGAACATTAGTGAAGATTAACGTTTTCCATTTTAAAAGGATAATAGTATACTTATGTCCATCTTAATTATCATCCCCTGTTACTAGTTATCTCTGGAAAAATCTACAACAACTAAAACCAATATACACATTATCACTAGCTGGGTAATGCTTACCTGTATTGCTTTAGAAATGTTATTGTTTGATTGTTGTAGGGAACCCTTAGCTGTAACACTAGAAAAACCCATTGACACCAGTGTATTGTAGAAGTCAATATTGATCCTCAAAGGAAAAAAAAACAAAAAGGTTTACCACTTTTTAAATAGATATACTACATTTAAACCTACTTTCCATCCCAATAATAAAACTGTTCTAATTTTGTTCTCTAATTGTATAATTAACATTAAACAATCTTTCCTCAATTATGTACATGAGTAAACAAATGAAACATAATCAAATCAATATTCAGAAACTTTTGTAAGAGTAACCAAAACTGTAAAATTTACATTGAAGTTCAAGCTTTAAGTAATACTAGCTATTTGTCCTAAAACCAATTTGTAAGTTTAAATTTTAGTGTTCACACATATAAGTGATTAATTAATTTTAGTGAAACTAGTTGGTATGATGGAGTTCTTACAAGCCCTCTATCTTTTGTAACAATAACTAAAAGCTTTGCCATTTCTAATAAGAAAATGTGATCAAAGTTCTTTTCCTTAGATCTACTTTCATGTTAATTTTATACTCCTACGTAGTTTATCATTAAATCAAAAAATTATATTTCTTTCACAAAATAATCCTAAAAATTATCACTAGATAAAACAATGACAATGTTTACTGTGATCAGTAGATAAAACAATGGCAGAAAGTTTACTGTGATGTCTAGATGAAACAATGACAATGTTTACTCTGATCAGTAGATAAAACAATGGCATCTGATCAGAGTAAACATTGTCATTGTTTTATCTAGACATGGCAGTAAACTTTCTGTCATTGTTTTATTTAGACATGACAGTAAGCTTTATTGTTCTATCTAGACATCACAGTAAACTTTCTGCCATTGTTTTATCTATTGATCAGAGTAAACATTGTCATTGTTTCATCTAGACATCACAGTAAACTTTCTGCCATTGTTTTATCTAGGGCAATGTTTACTGTGATCAGTAGATAAAACAATGGCAATGTTTACTGTGATCAGTAGATAAAACAATGGCAGAAAGTTTACTGTGATGTCTAGATGAAACAATGACAATGTTTACTCTGATCAATAGATAAAACAATGGCAGAAAGTTTACTGTGATGTCTAGATAGAACAATGGCAATGTTTACTGTGATCAGTAGATAAAACAATGGCAATGTTTACTGTGATCAGTAGATAAAACAATGGCAGAAAGTTTA